TTTTCAGATGGAGGTGGCAGGTTAGATTGGCTTAAAACTTAAAGTCTGAGTTGACAGTCTGGTTGGGTGGGCTTGAGAAGGTGGGACTTTCACCTTCGCTTGCCATCAGGGTAGAGCCAGTCCTGGGAGACTTTTTTTCTTATTCTGACTCAACTGGGAGAATCCCTTCCTAGTATGAAACTTGACTCCTCATTTGGAAAAGACTGCATTAGACCAAAGTCTTTCACAGCTAAAATTCTGTGACTAGAAAAAGCAAACCCTGAAGAGTAGCACACTTCATACCTCCCTCCCCCACTTAAAATAAGATAGATGCATCATAGACCATGTGTTACAGATTTCTGTTTTCTGCATTTGCTGTAGAATGAAAAGGCTTTTATTAAATCGCCCTTCTCTCACAATTATAAGCATGTTGACCTATTTCCTTCCCGTCTCTGTTATGCATAGTTTGGCAGTATTTTTATTATCGTTGTGAGCAGCCTGACTAAAAAGAATCTCTGGGCTTTTAAATTTGGGGCATTTAAGAGATAGATACTTGTGACAAAGGCAGGTAGAGACAGGTGTCTGTTTATATCACAAAGGTCAAGTGTTCATAACTGTCTCTGCTTCTGGTTGAGCTTTGGAATAGCTGACAGTGTACCGCATGCCACAGTGTCCTGCTTGATATCCAGGGCTGGTTACATCTTTGGTTTTTGATGTAGCTGTCTTGTGGAAGTTTGGAGGAGGGCCTGGGGAAAGATCATGTTTTGTCATTACAGCTGGGGATTTCTCCTCTCTCCCTTCAAGTTTCACTTTTCTGGAAAGAGGGAGACTGTAGGAATAGTAGTAATTTCTAGATGTGATACTCAGTAACCTTGGGGGAATAGATAATTTTTTAAGGTCAGTTGCTGAATTTATTGTGCAAATTTGCCACCTATGTCCATTATTCTTTTGCATTTACTATCTGTTATAACCAAATTCTGTCAGTGTTGACAGAATTAATCACGTTTTGTGAACAGTATTGTTTGGATGATGCAATGTGTTAGACTCCCTGTCTTAGAAAATACAAAAGAACATCCTTTAAGGCAGCTCAGAGCTGTAGTTATCCTAAGTCCTCTTCAAGCTCTGCTGTCTGACAGGCCGTGGCCAGTCAGGAGGGAGATCAAAGATGCCAGAGTTTTTATTGAAGCTTATCGGTCCAACTTGATGTGCAGACAAACACATTAGAGTCACTTTGCTTTGACACTCCTGCCTGGAGGCCAAGTCTCAGGGAACAGAGAAGGTACCAGGGGTTGAGTTTGAGTTTCAACGTTCTAGTACTTAAAGGAGCTTTGGAGAGCTTTTAAACAAGCACAAGCCCCGAAGTCATAGCTGTACGTGATGAACTAGAAGGTAGAGGCAAACTTACCAGTGCTTGTGTCCACAACTCCATGCCATTTCCTCACCCTTTCCTCATCTAAAATGCTGAATGCCAGCTCTTAAGAAATCCTAGTTTGTGTAAGCTCGAGGTGATACATAATTTGTACCACAGTGACAAGAGAAAAGGGTCACATAATTTGAGTTCGGTTCATTTTTCTGCTTTCTCACATCCTAACATTTAGGATTTCTTAACTGTGTTGGAGGCAACACAGTTATTAGTCATAACTTTTGTGGAATCAAGAGGGAAGGAGAAATATGACAGAGCCTTCTCTGAAATTTGGCCGGCTTGGAGGGGTGGCACTTTCTTTGGCCAAAAACTTAGCTGGGGGTGAGGACTCTGTTTCCCTGCTGAAGAAGAATACATGTGGCTGGAGGCCAGCGTCTTGTCTCTAGAATCTAAGATTTCAGGCCTGGTGCCTCCATGTAGTTTTCAAGTTCTAAATAAAATTTGAAAGCTGTCTAATATCTAAGTCAAAACTATTTGCCTCAGAAAATCTGTATGTATAAATAAAATTATATGTTTATATAAATACAGTATACAATAAGACATCATTTTTATAATATATACATTTAATGTTGTAATAGGAATCTATGCTTGTTATAGAAAATTTGTGAACTATAAAAAATAAATCTGGGAGTTCCCTGGTGGCCTACTGGTTAGGATTCTGGGCTTTCACTGCTGTGGCCCGGGTTCAGTCCTGAGATCCTGCAAGCTGCATGGTATGGCCAAAAAAAACCCCCCAAAACAAAAACCTCTCTTCAAGAGATTGAATATTAGTAACATTTTCATGTATTTCCTTTTGGTATTTTTCCAGATTTTTTTAAGCTTAAGTGTATATTTTTAATAGAAGATAAAACTTTTGATCAATTTTAATCACCTAAGTTATATCGTGAACAATTTTTTTCATGTTACATACTATTGAAAAAAATGAGTTTTGAAGGTGACTGCCTTCTATGGTTTACGGGATGCGCCATAATTTACTCACCTTTCCCCTATCGTTGGATATTTAGGAACAGCTGTCTATTTCAGAGCAGTTCACCAAGCTTCTTATGTATTTCAGTATATCTTTTTTTTAAGTTTGGGCAAGTTCTGCTTTAAAATTGTTGAAATTGACAATGATTTGGAAATTATTTTTATTAGTGTATGGTTTTAATGGACTTTTGGGTTCATGTGTTCTAGTCAAAAGCTGTTCAAATAAGGATTTCATGCTTTGGAAAGGTAAGTGAAAAGAAGTTAGGGCACCACAGGAGGAAATGTGGGCTGCCTTTTGCACCATTTCCTCATTCTAGAGGGACTTCTGATAAATGTATTATCTGTCCATTTGCACACTTATTTGGCCGCTGTAGAAGTTGGCACTTTCCCCACAGGTTTGTTGTGGGAAAAATATCCATATACGTAAGGCCAAAATGCCCTGAGTACCATTTATTCTTTTGTTAACCAGAGTAAAGAGAAAGTTCCTGCAGGAGCTCGTTTCTCCCTCCAGGCTCAGCTGTCAACTGCAGAGCAAGGCAGTGTCAGCTGAGTGGACAGGATGGGGGGTGATGACGGCTCATAGAGCCAGGCACTGTTCTTGGTGCTTCAGATCTGTTAACACATTAATCCTCCCACCTACCCTGTAAGGTAGGTCCTACTTTTATCCATATTTTACGGAAGGTAAAGGAGCAGGTGCAGGGATTAAGTCTCCCAAACCAGGGTTTGAACCTCGGCAGTTTGGCTTCAGGGCCGGAGCGCCTAATGGCTTGGCTCTGCTTCTTGAACTTGAAGGGTTCTTAGTCCGGGGGGGCCTGGAAAGTTCTAGGTTATCCAGCAAGACTGAGGACAGAGCTGGTTCTTCTTCCGTATCATTGCTCCTTGGTCATCCCCTATCTCATTCACACGCTGTCTTTACTACCAGCGGGCTGAAACGACAACAGATTTTGATTCAGCTCCATTCGGCGAGTGATGAGATCACTTGTTACACAGCTGTGACGTTCTAGAAAATTAAAGAGTAAAAGGCTTTGCGTGCCCTGGAAGTTAGTCTTGTTCTAGATCGCGCTGGAGACTTTTAATAGACAAGAGAATAGAATTGTGGATTTGCAGGGTTTGAAGGCACAGAGGTAATAGTCCAGTGGTTATGGCCTCCTTTCCCCAGGACAATTTTAGGCAGAACCCCAATATATGAAATAAATAAAAGCAGGGCTGCCATGGTTTAAGGAGGGAGGGGTGGGAATCCCAGATCACAGAGACTCGAGACGCGGCTGCTTCCTCACCTCTGAGACACTCCAGCGCACCCCAGGTTCCCTGGGTCCCTGAGCCTAACTCACTCATTGCCCGATGCAGTACCTGGTGCAGGAGAGGAGGTGACTTACCAAGGTTACACACACTGTGTTCCCCTCGGGCCGTGACACACATGGCGTTTGTCCCTGGGCCCTATGCCTGTTCGAGGAACGGCTGGACCTCGGGGTCATCCTTGACTTGTGCCCCAAGGTCCTGCCAGTCAGCAGGTCCTGCTTATTCTGTACCGTGCTGCCCAGCACACACACATTTCTTCCTTTCATTGTCCATGTCACTGCCCTGATCCAGAGTCTGTCACCTCCAGTTTAGACAGCAAAAGTCCTTAGTTAAAAAAAGAAGGGGAGGATGATGACTCTTCCTAACACAGAGTTCGGATCGAATCCCTCCTTCACCCGGAAGCCTTCCAGGGCCCCTCTGGAAGGCCCCAAGTCTTCACGTAGCTTGGCTCTCGGGGGCTTCTGGGGTCTGGTTCCAACCTGCTGTTTCCCATGAGTCTCCCAAACCACCACGAGCTGGGACTTTTTTTTGTTTGTTTTGTTTTGTTTTTTTTGTGGTACGTGGGCCTCTCACTGCTGTGGCCTCTCCCGTTGGCGGAGCACAGGCTCCAGACGCGCAGGCTCAGCGGCCACAGCTCATGGGCCCAGCCGCTCCGCGGCATGTGGGATCCTCCCGGACCGGGGCACGAACCCGTGTCCCCTGCATCGGCAGGCAGACTCTCAACCACTGCGCCACCAGGGAAGCCCAAGCTGGGACTTTTGGAAAGAGACTCTGGTGGCACAGGGTTGAACCAAGGCCTCTGCACCCATTACTCTGTCTTCCACCCAACTCACCGTCCCGTGCCCCGGACGAGCCTCCCAGGCCTGTGTGCCCACCGTCCCCCGTCTGCAGTGACGTTCTTCATCCCACCCTCGTTGCCCATCGCTCCACTCTTCAGAGGCACTTTCCCCAGAGGGACCGTCGCCGTCCTCAGACTCCACATCACTCACTGAAACCCTCGGCTGACAGCAACTTGTGGTTAAAATGATGAAACACTCCCATTCCGGTTAGAAGACAGCTGCTACCCCAAGAGCCCTCACCCCTAATTCAGAAACTGTAGAGTTAGCGCCTGGCCGGGGAGGCTCTCCTGAACCCTGTTCTGGTGGTTGGCCTCCTTCTTTTCCAGTTGCTTGGTGCCAGGCTGTACTGGTTACCCCGCGTTTTGAGCGCCCCCCACCGCCCTTCCTTTGCCTCTTCATACGCGCATAGCTCACTTCCGCACTAGGTCCCCCAGCCACGCACTGAGCTCTGTGCATTTAGGAGACCTAGTCACTGTTGTTTCTGTTTTCAGCAGCGTTTAACAGGGCCTCGCTGCCAGTAAGTGCTTAGTGTTATCTGATGATTGATTGAGACCAGGAGACATTCAGATGGACAGATGTCTCATAGACGGTGTCACTGACAAGAATGTACATTTCATCGTTCCAGGTTTGTATGTTATGATCCTGTGCAAGGCTTAGATCTTGTAGCTGAGATCAAGGCGTTGAAAATCTCCGGAGGCGCCCCAGACTGAGTAGCTGGCAGGGACCTTGCTGTCACACCATCCAACCAACCAGCTCACCGGGGAGGGACCCGCAATGCAGAGGGTATGCCCAGCAGCCCAAGCAGGCTAGATGCCGGAGGCGGTGCCGGGCTGTGTTTCCCCTCCTGGCATGAGTCAGAGAATAGCACGTCAGACTCCAGGGCCTCTCTGCAGGGCACGCAGGGACTCTAGCTGAGGTCCCGGGACAGACCGCCTCCGATGAGCCAGGCCCTTAGCCTGCCGGGGCCCTTGCCTAGAGTCTCCTCCCTCCAGAGCAGCCCGCTCAGTCCGCTTGGCCTCGGCACTAGCCCGGGTGCCTGTGACGTGTGCTGTACTGCCCTTCCCGGCACGCTTCTTTCCATCACAGGGCGACGCGGAGTATTTTTGTCTCCCCCTGGATAGAAAGTCCGTGTGCAGCTTGGGCCAGCACTGTTACCCTGCGTCCTGGGCGCCGCAGGCTTTTGCAGGCGCTCCGGTTAGCAGTTGTATTTACCGCTGCCCGTAGTCGGGAACTGACAGAGACTCTAGCCAGGCAGGTGACAGAGAGGAGGTGGGGCGCTGGTCTCCAAGATGGGGTGCATGTGCCCCAGGTTGGGGAGACCATCTATAAGGGTGCAGGTGGATGTATTAGAACTTCTGTAGATATTTATTTTTTAGCGTTCTTCTTAAATTCATAATTGTATGTTTCATAATGTTCAGAAAATATTTGTACATGTATACAGTTTATAAATAAGTGCATCTACATATCAGGGATACATTTACTTATGATTTTTGATGCATTGTCAGAAGTTTAGAGAGCCAGAAAATTAACTCCTTCTCTGCCACCAGTAGGGCAAGACCCCTCCAAATGCCATTGTTAAAAGAAAGGAATTTGTTAGTTAAGGGGGGATAGACACTGCTTTGTGACACTGGGTTGTGATTCGTGTCAAATTAGCCTCTGACTTTAGGAGAGCCAGGTTAAATCTGGAAGATGTTTTGCCTTTGGCCAAAACTTGACAATGTAGAAAGAAGCATCTTTAGGACAAGGATTTCATTTTTTTCTGTTTTATTCATTCACTCCTGTGCGTCAGGCAGTGCTTGATGTAGAGTGGGTGCTGCCTAAATATTCTCAGTGTGTACATATGTACCTTTCTCTTGCAGGACAATTAAATATCATGCTGGGTTGGCCACTTCAAGTCAATATTTGAGTTCGCTGTCTTTGTTTAAACCTTTGGTCAGTGGCAGGTTACAGCATCTGTGCCCGTTTTACTCCTCTTAACTAAGTTCTCAAAGCTGTAGGATCGTAGAGCTAAAAGGATCGTAGAGCTAAAACGGGCCTCAGAAGTGTCACTTGAATGATAAGAAGTTTGGGATTTCCTTTTAAATTGTTTTTTAAGAATGAAACAATGCTGACAAGATGTTGATCATTATTGAAACTGAAGCTGGGGTTATTATGGGTACATGGTGGCTTCTTATACTACCCTGTATACTTTTGAATAGATTTGGAAATTTTCATAATAAAAATTTAAACAAAACATAAAGGGAAAATAAAGACCCCCAGCTAGCGTCACCTGTTCCGAGGAGGTACGGCCAGATGGGACAATCTCTTTTTTTTCCCTTCCTTCTTTTAAACACTGGGTCATTATTCTATAATCCTCTGTAACTGGTTAGATTCGTTTTGTCTTTAGCTTCCCCAGGGCTAATCACCTCTTATAGTTACCTGAACTCTGGGTGTAACCCTCGCTCACCGAGGCCTCCCTCATCCCTTCTCACACAGTGAGCCAAATCCTGCTTGAACCTTTTCTCTGTTTCTCCTGTCGCTTTCCTGCCGCACCACTGACGGTGTCCCCAGAGCTGAGATCTGTCAACGCTCAAAAGTGGATTTCTTCCAAGTTTGGGAGTAGCTGGCCTTGCTCTCTCTCTGGGTAGAAATCTGCCTTTTATTCTGTGTTCCACTCACCCCTGCTTTGTTAGCCATTTCTCTGGTTTATCTGTCCCTTTGGAACCTTGGTCTGTTTTCAGAGGTGTAAGTATCTCTACCCAACCTTGTGTCCCCTCAGCCTGCTTATCCAGGTCACTGACATTTGCAACCTCTGGGAGCTGCAAGGGCTGGTCCTGCTTCCCTCTGGCTCCTGCACCAGCTTTGCTCAGACTGCCGCCAGGCTGCTCTCCTGGGAGAGAGGCGTGTCGGGGCCTCTGGTCTATGTCACTGTTGTCCTTAACCTACCCGCCACCCCGAGTGCTGCCAGCACAGGCCGGGCCTTGACGTTTCCCCACCCCCAGCTGCCTCTGCCTGTTCCTGTCTGGCTCTCGGCTCGCTGGACCGCCCTCCCTCTGTGCTCCAGCCCATACACAGTGCTTTCTCCCCTCTGGCTCCTGGAGCCCAGGGCCCTGCATAGTTTGGTTAACTCCTGCAGGTGCGTTAACTCCTGCAGGTGCATTAACTCCTGCAGGTGCGTTAACTCCTGCAGGTGAGTTAACTCCTGCAGGTGTATTAACTCTTACAGGTTAGGGCAGACGGTGAGAGCTTAGATATATATTTTCTGGGAGGGGCTTTCACCCCATCTGTCACTTTGCTGGAAGGACAGGTTACCACCCAGGGCCCTTTCTGGAGCAGGTGGGAAATACATAAATACAGGAGGAAATGAACTGACCTGACCTAGTTATAGCTTGTTTATCTTGAGAAACTAAAAAAAAAAAAAAAATACAGCAAAGTACAAAGAGTAATAAAACCATAAAACAAATACCCATAGAATTGATGAGGGCTTTTTTTCTTTTCTTTTTTTTTTTTTTTTTTTTGCGGTACGCGGGCCTCTCACTGTTGTGGCCTCTCCCGTTGCGGAGCACAGGCTCCGGACGCGCAGGCTCAGCGGCCATGGCTCACGGGCCCAGCCGCTCCGCGGCATGTGGGATCTTCCCGGACCGGGGCACGAATCCGTCTCCACTGCATCGGCAGGCGGACTCTCAAGCACTGCGCCACCAGGGAAGCCCTGATGGTTTTTTTAACAATGGGCTGTTTTCTTTTTATGTCCTTCCATCACCCGGAGTTTCTGGGTGGGTGGGATCCTGTTATTTAGTCCCAAGTGCCAGGACTGCCCGGCCAGCTTTTGCCTCCTTGAGCATCACCTTGGAGATGCTCTGTGGTGTTGGAGAAGGGGCGGAGCTTCCCTCTGTTCCCCCTCCCTTCCTTGTCCCCCGGGGGCCTGCGCAGGCAGCAGGGGGCTGGCTCAGGTTTTGCAGCTCACGGGGCACAGCCAGTACCTGGACAGAGAGCTCTGTGCCTGTGGGTCTAGCGTTCTTTCATGATTCTGTTCTGCCCCCTCCCATAGCCACTACCGGAAGTTGCTAGCTTTGGACAGAGCATCTGAAGGGACCCCAGGACTTCGGTGCCTTCTCTGTGTGCAGCTGCTCAAACAAATGGACCTCCTCCTGGTCCTGAGGCCCTTAGAGGAGGGCCCCTGCCAGCTGGGTCCAGCCCTGGTCATTGTGAAAGACGTGGGTCCTGTTTCCTGTTCGATTGTTGTCCCCTCCTCTCGGGGAGCCTTCTGCTTCGGGGTTTACTTTGTGGTTCATTACATGCCAGGAAGGTAGAGAATCTTTTCTTCTGGATTGTTTAGTGGCCACAGGAATTTTATTTCTTCTCCAGCTATTATCATAACAGGCTCTCCTTGTGTTGCCTGACTGCCCCATACCACGGTGTCATTCTCTGTGACATGCAGGCCCCCAGACGTAATCAGGACCCTCCGTGTGCCCAGATCAGCTGAAACAACATGCCTGTCAGACCCACTGATGAGCGGGAAGCCTCGCCTGCAGGAGCCTCTTCTGTCTTGGTTCTCGCAGAAGCCTGGGCCCAGCCTAACAAACAGCCGCCCGGCCTCCAGCCGCTGAAGCAGAGCCGGCGGACTGTGGGTCTGCTCTGTCCAGGGCCGTTCCCTTCTCTGGCTCTTCCTGGGAAACAGCCCTGCCCCGTCGTGACTCGTATCTAGATACCACTTAACAGTAGTGAATCGCTGTTTGAAGACCAGTGGAAACATCTTGCTTCTCTTCGGAATGTTTTTTTTGAATGGAAACATTTCCTCTTAAATCCATGCCACTAAAATTTCACCCTGACAGAGAGGCTTTTAGGTGACCTGCATATCTTCACCAGGCAGGGCCTGACTATAATTATCGTTTTCCCAAGTGGATGTGCCTGACAGGTCTCTGTATCTGTGTTGAAGAGAGAAGGGAGGAGAGCTGTGCTTGGTGGTTTTTTTTCTCTCTGGGGAATGCTGGACAGGTCCTGCTTCGAGCATTCCTTGCATCCCAGATGGCCACCCACCCATCCACGCCCTGGGCCTTTCTAAGGGCTCCTCAAGCCAGCCCGCCATTGTGTTCCAGCCCCTGGGCAGTTTCTCTGGTTGGGAGGATTTGCTTTCCTTTCAGAGATAAAACTCACTTACAGAAGTTGGTGGCCAGCCCTGGGGTCAGGCTCTGGACTCAGCCCTTCCGCTGGCATTGGCTGTTCTATTTAAGAAAGGGGTTTGCTGTCTTGTCTTCCTCATGGGCAGCCTTAATTTGTTGTAAACTAACCTGCAATCACATGTCTGAATGGATTTCTACAAAGGAGAAGTGAGGACCCTTGCTCTTAGATGACCTTGGGGGTGACATCATACATAAGTGAAAGAGTTTGAGAAATAGGCAATGGGAAGATGGGGAAATGGACATTCTGAGGTAGCCTCTCAGTCAGTGGCTTACCATCCTGTCTGCTGGTTGGTTTCTTTCCCCTTCAGGTCCCCTGGAAGGTGCTGCTTCCTCCCAGCTCACTGCCTCATAGCAGCAGCGAGGGTGCCAAGGGAAGATGCTGAAGTTTGGAAATGGCCTGAATACCCGCTTTCTCTTTGGAGAATCACAGCTCTGTGTACACATCTTCCAGAGGCTTGCAGTAGAG